GAGGAAGGGGGGATGCTCAGAACGATGGCATTTGTCCTCCCAAGTAACTGTTGTGCATGATGGATCCCTGCTTTCCTGCAGATGGCTGAGCACCTGCCTGCCCATGGGAAGCAGTGAATGAATTTGTTATTTTGCTTTGCTTGCGTGCTTGTTTTTTGCCTTACCTGGTAAACTGTATTTATCTCAACCCATGAGTTTTTCTCACTTTCTGCCCTTCGAATTCTCTCCCCCATCCCACAGGGGGGGATGAGCAAGCTCAGCTGCCCACCGGGGTTAATCCACAATACCAAGGAAGAATTTCCAAGGTTCTATTTAGTCCTGAGTGTGAATTCTACCAGTAGGAAGTTACTTATAGAGAAAATGCAATTGGTTTGGTTCCTCCTGTGATGCTAGGTAGCTGGCTTTTGAATGAACAGTGCATTAAATTGATGTGTATATTGTATATGAATCATAGAATGGTTTGGGTTGGAAGGGACCTTTAAAAGTCATCTAGTCCATGTGTATCTGGTAATACTTGGAGATCCAGTGTTTGTTCTAAGAGCCATCTGATTATTTAAAATATTGAAGAATATATTTTAGAATACTGAAGAATTTCCAAAGCCAAGTTTCTGCATCAGTGAAATAGTTTTTTTCTTTTTCATTAGAGTAAGACCTTGTAAAATCCTGTTTGTATTTTCTGTTCTAGTCTTTGAAGAAATTAAATCATGCCAATGTAGTAAAGCTGAAAGAAGTTATCAGGGAGAATGATCATCTGTATTTTGTGTTTGAATACATGAAGGAAAATCTTTATCAGTTAATGAAAGAAAGGTATGTAACAGCATCACCCATTCCTGATATAAATTAATCACTTGCATAATGTGCTTTTAACCCCCCTGTTACTTTTCAAAGGACTTTGGATCATTTGTTTAGACTTAGATCACTATGACTGAAAGCTGTGCGCTGTCACTTTTGAGTATATTCTAAACAGTTTCGTAAGAGTTTCCAGTGTCTCTTCCCAGATTAGCCTGGAGATAAGTAGGGCACTCTTCTGAGAGTTAGAACTGTGGACTTTTAACAGCCCTCGCACTGAGGAGGCATTGAACCTTAGAACTTTTGATTTCTAGGTAAGTACTCCAAGCAGCAGTGTTTTTTCTATGAGAGAGTGGTATCACCACCTCTTCTGTTATGGCTTCCTCAAATAAATGAATAAATAAAAAGTGTTTGAAACAGTAATCATGAGGGGTCAAATTCTGGATTGCTTCTAGATTTTTTTTTCCTTGCAATTTGAACTGACATGTCCAAAGACTGCTTATTTTATTTGTCAGCATTCTCAATAAAGTCTAGCTTTTTTATATTTGCTGGAGCATTGATAAAGTCTTATATTTTAGCCTTTGGGCCATGGTAGCACCCTCCAGAGGATAATTTGGGGCAAAATAGCTCCCTGCTTTGAGTTGTTCTCCAAGGAGGCCATTTTCTCTCTATGGACCATAGAATCAGCTGGGAAGATGACAGGAATCTTACTTGATTTAACAAAGTAAGGTTATTGTTATAATGTATCTCTGTCAATACTACAAAAAATACCTTTGTAAGCATAAAAATACTTATTATGAATGCACAAGTATAGAACAACTTTAATTAAATTGGGCACATATATATGGATGCTGATTTTTAATTATATGAAATTATGAACCTTGAGAAAATGGTTCAAGTACATAACATACAAACCAATTATCTTTAGGAATTTCTTAGAAACACCTGATATATCCCACCTCCTTATGAAGACAGAAAGGGCGGATGTCTGTAAAAGTGTGCTATACATCATGTTCTCTGCAGTTTAGCTAGGCCTTGGGCTGGAAGGGACTGTAGAGGAAATATGACTCTTTCTGGCGTAATTAAAAAAATAAGCAAGCAAATATGAAAAGCTGACTCACTTCTGAAACATGTGATGGTCAGGTTTTTTTGAGAGGAATCAAGCTCAGGAAATTGAATAAGGCCCAGGCTGTCATCTTCATTCACTGTTAGGCTCTTTCTGAATAAAATTGTCACCGATTTCCACCCCAGCCCATCTCTACTGTGTTTTGGCATGTGGAGAAGCAGATGGTACAGAGCTTTTTGATCAGAATCCTCTCTTGGTAAGAGGGCTATCATCAAACCACCTGCCATGGCTGATCTTGCCTGAATATTACGAGAAGAGCTTCTTGTTTTCAGTGGTAGCAGATGAGACTGTTTTTTCAGATAACAGAAGAGAAAGAAGTAGCACATCAGTTGTTAGATAATAACAAGGGAAAGTCAAAAGTATGGCATAGAGAGGCTGGAAGAAACTCTGCATGAAAAGCACTAAATTAACATGAGCCCTTGCTGTCTCGAGGAGTGTGCATCATGACCTGTCCATGTTAAGGTTTGTTCAGTTTGGCAAACTTTCTTTTTTTTTCCCCCTTGTCTTTTTTGCCTTTTTTTAGTTGGTTGTCCCACATAATCTTAGCATGGTGTCACATAGTCTTAATACAATGTAATGCAGCAGTTCTGCAAACACTGTGTAAATTTTATTTGATAAATAAACTACGTGAGAGAGCTTAAAATATATCGAGCAGCTTTATTGTCATTTATTGACAATTTATTGACACAGTTTATTGTCATTGTTTATCTTTGGTTCATTAGATATCATAAGCTAATGTCTGAATTTAATACTAATTTCTTCCCTTTTTCTTTTGTCCCACAGAAACAAACTGTTTCCTGAGTCTACAGTGAGGAATATCATGTATCAGATCCTGCAAGGGCTTGCATTTATCCATAAGCATGGTAGGTTATGTTTTGGCTGTAAACATTTTGAATTAGAGCAAGATAGTGGCTATGTAAGTTTTTTAATAAGTACACTAACAATTGCATTACTAACTTTACTAAAGGGACTGATCAAAAGAATGTCACTATATGAGAGATTCAGATCACTGAAAATACCCGTATTTTATAGTTACCATGTATTGAATTGCTCAGTATTTACTCACGGGAAGTTACCAGGGTTGGAGAGCAGTTTGGGAGTCTAGTGGTGAGCCATTTGGTTCTGTGTATCACTTGCATTGTATATTTTTTCATTAGTATGGTTTGGTGTTGTTTCCCTCCTTCCCTTACCATCCAGTAAACTGCTTTTGTCTCTACCTGGGATTTCCCTTTGTTTATGTTTTCTCCTCCCCATCCCACTGGAGGGTGGGGGGCTGGAGGGGTGAGTGAGCATCTGTGGTTAAACCACCACAATCACATAATACTTTGAACTCTTGTGGTGTGCTGTTCAAGCTTCAGCAATAAGAAGTAAAGCAAAACAATCCAGGTGGAAAATAAAGACTACAGCTGAGGGTGGCATTGCAATACACATCAGTATTTCATTTGAATTTTAGGGTTCTTTCACAGAGACTTGAAACCTGAAAACCTCCTTTGCATGGGACCAGAACTTGTGAAAATAGCAGACTTTGGATTAGCCCGAGAAATCCGATCAAGACCTCCTTACACCGATTATGTATCCACAAGATGGTAAGTGCTAGTATTTGCCCACATGGTGTAAAACTTAGAATCAAGCCTTTTAAAGAAGTGAAGTATTACATTTGTGCTGAATGTAATAACCACTTTTGATGCCTTCACTTTATGAAGCTTTTATTTAAGTTTGGCATAATTCAAAAAGCTTCAGTTAGTGCAAGACAGTTTCCAGGAGGCAGCAGGACAAGAACAAAAAGGGAGCCTGGTAAGGCAGGTGGGACATGATGGGATTGCTGTGTGTCAGGAAGGCATAAGAGAGCTTACAAGAGCTTTCGTAGGCTTTAATTCTTTATTATAGAAGAAAAAAAGAAGTTGTGGAGGATAGGAGCTTTTTAAGGGATGTTAGCTCTTAACAGCAAAGAATGAAGAGCTGAGTGGTTTCATGTATGTTTGAATTGTGTTGATTGTTGGGATTTGTTTTGTTTTGTTTTTTCTCTCTTACAGGTACAGAGCCCCTGAAGTCCTTCTGAGATCCACCAGCTATAGTTCTCCAATAGATATTTGGGCTGTTGGTTGTATAATGGCAGAAGTTTACACGCTGAGGCCTCTCTTCCCAGGCGCCAGTGAAATTGATACTATATTCAAAATTTGCCAGGTCTTGGGGACGCCAAAGAAGGTAGCTAAAGTGACATTCCACACTGCAGTAATACTAGAGGTGTTCTGCCATACAGAATGGCACTCAGAGGACTCATGTTCAAGAAGATTGATTATTTTAATGCTTACTGCTATTATATGGTATTGATCTCAGATATAGTAAACTAAATTAAAACTTATTTTCTGAGAAATAAACATTATGTAATTATGCTATAAAACCTGACTTTTACAGAAGGAGAAATAGACCCTTGAACAGCAAAGTCATTAGTCTGTGATTGCATTAGGTGGAAATTTAATTTTCTTTTGCGTATTGCATAGAAACCTATGGTTTCAGAGGCTGGAAATTTGAATCATGGAAAGATTCCTACCTCCTGATTCCATTTCTGCCTTTGACTTGGTTGAATGTATAGCAAGACTTAACTCTCACCAGAGGTTTGAGGTGAAAATTTTTAGTGAAATCTTTAATCTAGTCTGCAGTAAGCTGGACACAGTCTGTTACTGGTACGAGAATATAAGCCAGTGTACTCGGGCACTGTGATATTTTACAGAGGAACTTTCTTTCTGATTTGAAATCTCGGTTCTTCCAGAACGACTGGCCTGAAGGCTACCAACTTTCAGCCTCTATGAGTTTTCGCTGGCCTCAGTGTGTGCCTAACAATCTAAAAACCCTCATACCTAATGCCAGCAGCGAAGCGGTGCAGCTCATGAGAGACATGCTGCAGTGGGACCCCAAAAAGCGGCCGACAGCTAGTCAGGTTTGGTTCTGTTTTCTTTTCTCACATTTACATATGATGCTTCCTTTCAATGCAAGACAACTTTTATAGACAGTCATTTAACAGTTGCTCAGGGGTGCAGTTCTTAGAAGAGAGAAGAGCAGAAGCCAAGAACAATTTGCAAAACAAAGGAGAGTAATTAAAAGAGAGTAATCAAGCTATTGCATACAGCATCAACTGCATGGGTGTGCTCAGTGATCACCTACATGACTGCAGTGTATTTAAGCACACCTGCATTAGTATAATCCCGTCACTGTGAATAGCAGTGGAGTGAGAGTAGGTTGTCTGGCTGAAGGCTGTGATGCTGTTCTTCCATTGCTATTGGTAATGTGCCACAGAATCACAGAATGGTTGAGAATGGAAGGGACCCCTTCGGATCATCTGATCCAACCCCCCTGCCCCAGGCAACATGTGCCAGTGCTCAGTCACCTTCACAGTAAAAAAGTGTTTCCTAGTGTTCAGAGGGAACCTCCCATGTTTCAGTTTGTGCTCGTTGCTTCTGGTCCCGTCACTTGGCATCAGTGAAAAGAGCCTCACTCCATCTTCTTTGCACCTTCCCTTAGAGTGTTTGCATACTTTGATAAGATCCTCCTGAACCATCTCTTCTCCAGACTGAACAGTCCCAGCTCTCTTAGTCTTTCCTCACAGGTGAGATGCTCTGGTCTAATCATCTTCATGGCCCTTTGCTGCACTCCCTCCATTATGTCTGTCTCCCTATTCTGCTGGGGAGCTCAGAACTGGACCTGGCACTCCAAGTGTGTCCTCACCAGCGCTGAGCAGAGGAGAAGGATCACCACCCTTGACCTTCTGGCAACACTCCTGCTCATGCAGCCCAGGACACCATTAGCCTTATTTGCAGCAAGGGCATATTGGTAGTTCATGTTCAAGTTGGTGTCTACCAGGTCCTTTCCTGCAAAACTGCTTTCTGAGTGGTTGACACCATCATGTACTGGTGCATGGGGTTGTTCCTTCTCAAGTGCAGGACTTGGTATTTCTCCTTGTTGAACTTGAAGTTCCTGTCAGCCCAGGCCCTGGAGGAAGTCAGAACATTAGAGGA